ACTTTACGGCCGCATTTACTTCACGGCCGCATTTGCTTTATCACTTTACGGCCGCTTTTACTTCACGGCCGCTTTTACTTTACGGCCGCTACAAATTTCCACATAAAATGCTAAAAAAAAACGGCATGATTAAAAATTTCGGAGAAGTATTTTCTTGCCAAAATTAAATAATCCTCAACGTTATGGTCTTCAGGTCCACCTATGTTATACTCTATGTTAAAATTTACAATTATAGTCGGAAATACCTAACATATCAGCAAGTTTTCAAAATTGATTGCTTTTTTAAAGAAGCTCAATGTAAGATACCAGGCAAAAAAGTCGGCAATTTTCTATAATCACACTCTCTTTATCGTAGTTTTTGTTATTAATAATTGTGTATCTACCTTTTGCTGGATTATTTATTTGATCAATAAAGTTTAAAGTTACTGTTGAATTTTCTTCTTTTTTCAAGAACAAACACGCCTAAAAAATTTTGTGTGCACCTCGGCCGAATGATCTTTTTTGGCCTCACCTGAAATTTGCTTGGCCTCGGCTATGCCTCGGCCGAATCAGAAATTTGCGGCCGAGGCGTAGCCGAGGCCAAGCAAATTTCAGGTGAGGCCAAAAAAGATCATTCGGCCGAGGTGCACACAAAATTTTTTAGGCGAGTGTTTGTTCTTGAAAAAAGAAGAAAATTCAACAGTAGCTTTAAACTTTATTGATCAAATAAATAATCCAGCAAAGATAGATAGATACACGGCTGTTTAGAAATGAGGGAGTGAAGCTGGATTCACAATTGAATGACAGGCAAGATAGAACACCTCGAAATGATCGACCATCAAATTTTGTTCAGGAGACACATATTCTGGCAACAGGGTAGCTCTAACAGGCTACTATCAAAATGTGCGGGGGTTGAGAACAAAACTAACCACCCTTATGTGCAATATTTCCACGGAAAACTATGATTTTGTGTTATTTACTGAGACTTTCCTGAATAAAGACATTTTGTCGAGCGAATTGGGAATGAGTAATTACTTAATATTTCGCTGTGATCGTTCTGATAGAACCAGTGTCCATAAGTCACAAGGGGGTGTCATGGTTGCAGTGAGGAAGTCTCTTAATTGTAGACAGATATCTACTCAATTTGAATCAGTGGAGCACATTTTTGTACTGGTTTCTTTGAAAGAGCATCATATTTTGTTGGGCAATGCTTATCTGCCCCCAGATTCTCCTATAGACTCCTATGAAAGTTACTGCTCATCCGTAACAGCTGCGTTGGAAATATGTAGTAGTTGTCAAAACTTGGAAATCTATTTATGTGGAGATTTTAATAGACCGGATGTGTCCTGGATCAATGATTTGCATGGGACTAGGGCTATTGGTAAACAATCTGAACAAACCACAGAGTTGGCTGACTGCATGGCTTTCCATAGCTTATATCAAGTGAATAATATTTCTAATATTTATGGGAACTTTCTGGATTTGATATTTTGTAGTAATAAGGATGTATGTACCTCAATATCAGCCGATCCACTTTTGAATTTGGACACACCTCATCCTGCTTTGGTTTTTGATGTATTAATTTCAGATAATAATTCTGATAAGTTGGAGTATGATTATTGTTTTCTGGATTATAAGAATTGTAATTTTAGGGATTTAAATGTTTATCTGTCTTGTGTGGATTGGGACTCTTTTGTTGATATGGATGATATAAACTCTGCTGTCGATACTTTTTATAATCAAATTTATCATGCTATTGAGATCTTTACACCCATTTCAAAAAGAAAAACAGCAAAATTTCCAGGATGGATGGATAGTCATTTGAAATGTTTGATTTTGTCTAAAAAAAAGGCACATCAAAACTATAAAAATACTATGTCCGCTCAGGATTATGGAGTTTTTTCAGAAATTAGGAAAGAATGTAAAATTTATTCTCATATCAGCCATAGGAATTTCATTGAGAAAATCGAGTCCGAGACACAGGACAGAAATGGATTTTGGAGATATGTACGATCGAAAAATGAAAATCGTGGATATCCCAGTTCTATGTTTCTTGATGAGCATGAAGGTAGCACACCTCATGAAATTGTCAATCTCTTTAAGGATAGTTTTTCCTCAGTTTATACTGAGGTGAGTGTTGAGAGTGATCGAAACATTCCTGTCTCTAATTTATCTAGTTTGTCTAATTGCAGTATCAGTTCGGTTCTAATTACCCCTCTTGATATATTTAACAAGATACATTCATTGAAGAATGGATTGGGTTGTGGTCCTGATGACATCCCAGTATTATTTGTTAAGAATTGTAGTTGTATTCTTTCAGAAATATTATGTAAAATATTCAATAAGGCTTTAGAGTTGGGACGGTTTCCTGATATGTGGAAATTAAGCTATATAACTCCTGTGTTCAAAAGTGGAGAAAGAAATAATATTAAAAACTATAGGGCCATATCCAGAATGTCTATTTTTTCTAAGGTATTTGAGTCTATAATAACGGATTTTCTTACACCAATTTTGAAACATGTTATTGTACCGGAACAGCATGGCTTTATTAAGGGTAGATCTACATTGACTAATCTTCTGGTCTATGAGGAGGCTCTGTTGGAGGGCTTGGAGAATAAGTGTCAGATTGACTCGGTCTACACTGACTTCTCCAAGGCCTTTGACAGGGTTGACCATAAGATACTATTGGAGAAGGTGGCCGATGTGGGGCTGCATGGAGGTCTATTGAGCTTGATTGGAAGTCTTCTCACAGGTAGAAAACAGGCTGTAAAAATTGAGAATTACATCTCTTCAGTATTTTCGGTGACCTCGGGGGTGCCTCAGGGAGGACACCTGTCTCCTTTGCTGTTTAGTATATTTATTAATGATCTGTCAGGTGTCTTCAGAAATTCCGATTTTTTGCTCTTGGCGGATGACTTGAAGTGTTTTATGGTTGTTCGGGATGTCAGGGATGCTCAATTATTGCAAGTGGACTTGGATATGTTTCGGACTTGGTGTCAAAGAAACAAACTCCCCTTAAATGTTGAGAAGTGTAAGGTTATTACTTTTTCTCGGAAAAAAACACCATACTTACATAATTACGTTCTTAATAATTTGGAGATTAACAGGGTTGAAACTATTAGAGACTTGGGAGTCTATTTCAACACTAATGTAAGCTTCACAGAGCACATTGAAATAACTGCTAATAAAGCAATGAAATTACTAGGCTTTATGTTCAGGTCACTAAAAGAATTTACTAATATCTACACCCTAAGAAACATTTATTGTGCAATTGTTAGATCAGTTGTAGAATATGCTTGCCCTGTCTGGTCCCCTTATTATGCTGTGCACATCTCCCACTTGGAACGAATCCAAAAAAAGTTTTTAAGATCCATTGCATATCGATTGGGCATCCCAAGTGAATCTATAAATTATAATGAGTTAATGTCTGTCCTAAATCTTGAAAATCTGAACCAGAGGCGACAGTTTTTTGATATGTGTACTTTGTTTAAGATTGTTAATAATTCTATTGATTCTCCAGACTTACTTGCTAGAATTGGCTTACATGTACCATCTAGCAATTTAAGAGGAAACACATTGTTTAACCTTGATTTTCGTAGAACCAATTATGGTTACCATTCACCTTTACTTAGAAGCTGTCGTTCTCTGAATGATATTATTTTGAAGACTGATTTGGATGTTTTTAACATAAGTTTGGATAGATTCAAAAGAATTTTAAAGTCGATCCTAAAATGATCGTTTTTTCTATTTGTATTCAATTTTAAGCGTATTATGTTGTTTATGTTTTGATACCTACTACAAAATATTTGTTTAGGCTTATGTAATATTGTTTTTTTATACTAACTTGTCTGTTGCCTACTTGTTATTCCAAATATTTATTATTGCGTGTACCTACACTTTAAGTCTACCTTTGTAAAAATGGCATGTCCGTAAATAAAGAATTTATTTATTTATTTATTTACACAATTATTAATAACAAAAACTACGATAAAGAGAGTGTGATTATAGAAAATTGCCGACTTTTTTGCCTGGTATCTTACATTGAGCTTTTTTAAAAAAGCAATCAATTTTGAAAACTAGCTGATATGTTAGGTATTTCCGACTATAATTGTAAATTTTAACATGAGTATAACATAGGTGGACCTGAAGACCATAACGTTGAGGATTATTTAATTTTGGCATTTTCCGAAAAAAATGCAAGAAAATACTTTTCCCAAATTTTTAATCATGCCGTTTTTTTTAGCATTATGTGGAAATTTGGATAGAGCTAAAATTAAAAACTTGGTTTCATTATGGTTACTAACTAATTGTTTATTGGTTGTGTTGATGGTTACGGCACTGCGTTTCCGATGGTTTGTTTAGTTTCACCAAAGTAGCGGCCGTAAAGTAAAAGCGGCCGTGAAGTAAAAGCGACTGTAAAGTAATAAAGCAAATGCGGCAATGAAGTAAATGCGGCCAAAAAAGATATACTTTAGGGATGATATTGAATCCGTAAAACTAATCTTTTTGTGACAATTGCCTAAAAACACTATTATTCCGATTATCGGACGAGCATCCAGTCCCTAATAGTTATTTACCTAACAAATGCGGAAAGTGATACTTTACCGCACGCAACGGCAGTTGACCGAACGACGCGAAGCGAAGTTCAGTCAAGCCGTTAGGGGGGTAAAGGCACTTTCCGCATGTGTTAGGTACAAAATTTTACCTATGAGCATCTACACCTCCAAAAAAAGCATTGATAAAATTAATTAATGGAATAAGATTGAATTTAGAAAAGATCAAAAATCCATTTTCTGAAAAAGAAAGCAAATTTGATTAAAAATATCAAATTCTACTTTACCGCACACTATGCGGTAAAGTGGACTACAAAGTGTTCGGTAAAGTGCACTTTACCGCATACTATGCTGTAAAGTTAACTTTACCGCATACTATGCTGTAAAGTTAACTTTACCGCTCCATTTTCAAAAACATGCGGTAAAGTGCACTTTACCGCACGCTCGTAGGTAAAAAATATAATTTACCTCTCTCCAACTAATCACATTGTCAGTGTTTGGATCGCTGACTAACTTCCATACTTTGAACAGGAAAAGTGGAATATTTGCGTCTTCAAACCCCTGCAGTCTCTGCATTTCTACTTGTTATTCCAAATATTTATTATTGCGTGTACCTACACTTTAAGTCTACCTTTGTAAAAATGGCATGTCCGTAAATAAAGAATTTATTTATTTATTTATTTACACAATTATTAATAACAAAAACTACGATAAAGAGAGTGTGATTATAGAAAATTGCCGACTTTTTTGCCTGGTATCTTACATTGAGCTTTTTTAAAAAAGCAATCAATTTTGAAAACTAGCTGATATGTTAGGTATTTCCGACTATAATTGTAAATTTTAACATGAGTATAACATAGGTGGACCTGAAGACCATAACGTTGAGGATTATTTAATTTTGGCATTTTCCGAAAAAAATGCAAGAAAATACTTTTCCCAAATTTTTAATCATGCCGTTTTTTTTAGCATTATGTGGAAATTTGGATAGAGCTAAAATTAAAAACTTGGTTTCATTATGGTTACTAACTAATTGTTTATTGGTTGTGTTGATGGTTACGGCACTGCGTTTCCGATGGTTTGTTTAGTTTCACCAAAGTAGCGGCCGTAAAGTAAAAGCGGCCGTGAAGTAAAAGCGACTGTAAAGTAATAAAGCAAATGCGGCAATGAAGTAAATGCGGCCAAAAAAGATATACTTTAGGGATGATATTGAATCCGTAAAACTAATCTTTTTGTGACAATTGCCTAAAAACACTATTATTCCGATTATCGGACGAGCATCCAGTCCCTAATAGTTATTTACCTAACAAATGCGGAAAGTGATACTTTACCGCACGCAACGGCAGTTGACCGAACGACGCGAAGCGAAGTTCAGTCAAGCCGTTAGGGGGGTAAAGGCACTTTCCGCATGTGTTAGGTACAAAATTTTACCTATGAGCATCTACACCTCCAAAAAAAGCATTGATAAAATTAATTAATGGAATAAGATTGAATTTAGAAAAGATCAAAAATCCATTTTCTGAAAAAGAAAGCAAATTTGATTAAAAATATCAAATTCTACTTTACCGCACACTATGCGGTAAAGTGGACTACAAAGTGTTCGGTAAAGTGCACTTTACCGCATACTATGCTGTAAAGTTAACTTTACCGCATACTATGCTGTAAAGTTAACTTTACCGCACAGTGTGCGGTAAAGTGATACTTTCCATTTTCAAAAACATGCGGTAAAGTGCACTTTACCGCACGCTCGTAGGTAAAAAATATAATTTACCTCTCTCCAACTAATCACATTGTCAGTGTTTGGATCGCTGACTAACTTCCATACTTTGAACAGGAAAAGTGGAATATTTGCGTCTTCAAACCCCTGCAGTCTCTGCATTTCTACTTGTTATTCCAAATATTTATTATTGCGTGTACCTACACTTTAAGTCTACCTTTGTAAAAATGGCATGTCCGTAAATAAAGAATTTATTTATTTATTTATTTACACAATTATTAATAACAAAAACTACGATAAAGAGAGTGTGATTATAGAAAATTGCCGACTTTTTTGCCTGGTATCTTACATTGAGCTTTTTTAAAAAAGCAATCAATTTTGAAAACTAGCTGATATGTTAGGTATTTCCGACTATAATTGTAAATTTTAACATGAGTATAACATAGGTGGACCTGAAGACCATAACGTTGAGGATTATTTAATTTTGGCATTTTCCGAAAAAAATGCAAGAAAATACTTTTCCCAAATTTTTAATCATGCCGTTTTTTTTAGCATTATGTGGAAATTTGGATAGAGCTAAAATTAAAAACTTGGTTTCATTATGGTTACTAACTAATTGTTTATTGGTTGTGTTGATGGTTACGGCACTGCGTTTCCGATGGTTTGTTTAGTTTCACCAAAGTAGCGGCCGTAAAGTAAAAGCGGCCGTGAAGTAAAAGCGACTGTAAAGTAATAAAGCAAATGCGGCAATGAAGTAAATGCGGCCAAAAAAGATATACTTTAGGGATGATATTGAATCCGTAAAACTAATCTTTTTGTGACAATTGCCTAAAAACACTATTATTCCGATTATCGGACGAGCATCCAGTCCCTAATAGTTATTTACCTAACAAATGCGGAAAGTGATACTTTACCGCACGCAACGGCAGTTGACCGAACGACGCGAAGCGAAGTTCAGTCAAGCCGTTAGGGGGGTAAAGGCACTTTCCGCATGTGTTAGGTACAAAATTTTACCTATGAGCATCTACACCTCCAAAAAAAGCATTGATAAAATTAATTAATGGAATAAGATTGAATTTAGAAAAGATCAAAAATCCATTTTCTGAAAAAGAAAGCAAATTTGATTAAAAATATCAAATTCTACTTTACCGCACACTATGCGGTAAAGTGGACTACAAAGTGTTCGGTAAAGTGCACTTTACCGCATACTATGCTGTAAAGTTAACTTTACCGCATACTATGCTGTAAAGTTAACTTTACCGCACAGTGTGCGGTAAAGTGATACTTTCCATTTTCAAAAACATGCGGTAAAGTGCACTTTACCGCACGCTCGTAGGTAAAAAATATAATTTACCTCTCTCCAACTAATCACATTGTCAGTGTTTGGATCGCTGACTAACTTCCATACTTTGAACAGGAAAAGTGGAATATTTGCGTCTTCAAACCCCTGCAGTCTCTGCATTTCTTTCCTTTCAAAATATAAATTTTATCCCATTTATTTATATTATTATATTTTTATTTTTTAAGGCAGGCACAGCTGCTGGGCTGACGTGACAGTGACAATCGTGATCATAGTTGTATTCCTTTCAAGAGTTTGAAACACTCGAGCTACTCGCTTCGGTGTTTCGTAGCCCCCGATTTGCAGGGAACAGATGCGTGGTGCAACAAACACTTTTCGAAAGGAATAAGCGCGTGAAGCCCCGGAGCTGTTCCGGAGCTCCTCGCTCCTCCTAGGTGTGAAAGGAATACAACTCATGAGACGTGAGTCGATTGTCGAATAATAAATAGAGATGGCAACGATCACCTATTTGTTATCGCTGTGACTAGACTAGAGTCTAGAGCAGTGTTGCCAATGTGGTAAAGTCATATTACCCGAGCTTCCAGTGGTAATTACCCGAAATCACCCGATCTTTACCCGCGTTTGCAGTGGTTTTGCCAGGTTTTCGTGGCGGGGAAAGGGGCATATTCCAAAACAGCGCTAAGCGAGAAAAACATTATTTTAGGGTTTCAGGTATTTTTATTTTTGTTTAAGGGTATAGGAGAGAAAAGCATAAAGATACGCTCGTGCTTCGAGCCATGCCAATGGATTATGCTAATAGGATGCTCATTTGTACTTGCTCTACCTGCTCGAAAATTCAGGAAGATCTGCTAGGAGCAGCTATTTATGAGCTTATATATATGGAGCAAGTGAAAGCTGATCTGCTTGAAGCAAGAAAAGAAGTAAAGTGTGTTTTTTTTTTTAAAGATAAAAGTCAAAATGACATTATGTTGGCAGTATAATGTAAAATTGTCAATGCTTTCAAATTTTTTATGTACCTTGCGTTCGGTATTTTGCTCAAAGAGCAGAGCGTGCTGAGCGGAGCCGTAATCACGTGACCAGTGAGCGAACAGAGCAGTTGAACGCTGCATAAAAGTGCCAGAAATTTTAATAAACGAACGCGAATGAGGCTGCACCGAGTACACTTTTTAAATAAACGAACGGTAAAGTCAAGCTCGGAGAACTCGGACCAAAATAACGAACGCACGGTTAGAAACGGCTTGTGTTGCCAACATAAGGTCCGTTTCACCAGGGTTCATACTTGACCTTGAAACTTGAAAAAAAAGGGTTGTCGTAGATTAATTCATATGACACATTCAATTTTTTTGACAAATTAAAATGATTTAAGAACCGACGAACGTTTTTGACGTCATTGATTTGTTTCAGTCAATTTTGATTTGTTAAAGAAGGAAGGCAAATGCTGGCGGCAAGTATAAACCCTGGCGAAACAAACTTTAGTTACTAAATTTTTGACTTGGGGAAAAAACAGATTTTACATACAAATGGACACCCTATTAGCTGGGTTCGGCTATTCAGCGCGGAGTTGGAGTGGAGTGAATAGAGCTAATGGAGTCACCCCTAATACGGTAAAAAGCAATACCCGAACCTTAACCCGAACGGCTAGAGTGCAAATGGAGTCACTCGGAGTGCACGGAGTGAGCAAGCCGAACCCACCTAAATAAAGTTGCAATGCCGAAGTAAGGCAAAGAACATTTTTTTCAGTACTTATACCGAGCAGGTGGCAGAAAACTGGAAAATGTATGTTTTAATTATTATTTTAATAGTAGATTATACCACGAGTCAATAATGATAGCTATTATTCCCGAGGAATATTTACGAACTGAGCCGCGTTAGCGGCGAGGGAGTAACATTCCGAGGGAATAATAGCCATTATTGCGAGTAGTATACTCTACTTTATTTACGACAAATTAATTTATTTGCAATTTACCTTCCAAAAACGCTCTTTGTTCATCCATCTCAATACAAATACACAAGCACTATGCGTTTGACACTATCACTTTTGAGTTTGTTCAGGTATATTGTTTCCATGGTAGTACTACTTTAATTTAAGTTAATTTGAGAAATTTTGTGATTGGTGTGCAAGCGGGAATAATGACCATTAATCCCTGCGGGAATAATAAATGGCATTATACTGCCAAAATCACAAATATAATACTTACATTATATGTCAGTCGTAAATAAAGATTTTTTTTAGTTTTTTTAACCATTTTTTACCATACTGAGGTGTTTTCCAGTGACCCATTTGAGTTACTCCTGAGCAGCTCAGGAGTGCTCCACAATTGCTTTGCGCGTTCCAGTGCTTAGAGTGTCGTACACTTGAGCTACTCATTTCTGTTATCCCCTGCCCCCTCGTGCACCAACCCTTTTGTCTGTGTTTCATGCTCCTGAAATCCGAAATGGTGGGGGTTAAGACGAGAGCGTTCCAGTGCTGCTTATGTCGAACAGTTCAAGAGCGTCACACTTCAGGAGCATGATACTCTAACAATTTGGGCACTGGAAAGCGGCTCTGGGAACTCAGGGCCGGTCCAATATCTATTATACCGGGTGTCCCACCGAAAACTGTCAATGGCCTATATCTTGAAAACGGTAATCGATAAAAAAAAAATGAAAACCTCGTTTCGAGGGCTGGAAGGGGGAACCAAAACAAGATACTTTTCAGGGCCGAGATTCTAAAATCACGATTCGACACACGACTCGACAACGATACCGGCCTTGTCGTGTCGAAAGGTATAATTCCAATGAGATTTCTAACCTAGAATCGTCGGAAAAATCGTCTCGTTGTCGAGTCGTATGTCGAATCGTGATTTTAGAATTCCCGACGGTCTCCCTGAATACCCCTCCGGCCGTAGCAACCCTAACCTCAAAATCTTAAATGGCACTATGGGTCATGTCACAGCCTCCTACATTTAACAAGCCATGAAGTTAAAAAGGCAACACCGCAATCTTACCGCCAAGTGGTGCTGGTGGTGTTTGT